GAACGACCGATCACAAAAAAGGAAAAAAACGCACACGAACGACCGATCACAGTCGGACATTGATGTTCGTGCCCAGCTCTGGTTGCGAGCATACTGCTGATATAAATTTTGCATTTGGTTTGCAAAATAACCATTGGTCGGCCAAGCAAAGCGGTTTTCCAGCTCAAAATTTTCAATGAATTCTCGAAAATCCGCTTCCGTAATTCACAAATTCATTTAAATACTTGATGGCGAAAAAACAAACAATATTTCTGACTCGTTCGAAGACAACTCGCACAATGACATCAAAAGGACAGAATATTTTCGCATCGATCGGTGATGAAATATGGAAGTCTTACTGCATTAGTTTGCAAATGTTCTATTATTTTAAAATCACAAACAGAAACAATCGCAAAATTCACCGTAAATACTTCCATTTATATTAAGATCACACTTGAAAATGAGCAGAATGGAAAAAATGAGTTCATTTGATTGTATCAATAAACACAGAAAACGTATACGATGCATAACTCTATGCTAAAATTGCCAGAATTTAAATATTTTTCGTCGAATATGTCATTTCTCCCGCTGCATTAATTCCGAATTAAACAATGAACGTGTTCATATTATGTGTGAAACTATCGAAAATAACACTCAAAATAATATTTCGTTTGAGACAATCACTGATTGAGAACAGATTGCAATATTTATAACAAGAAAAATCCATCGAATGTTTTGTTAATTCGATAAAAAGTCAATCACAAAATATCAACTAAAAACAAAAATAATATTCAGAAATGAACAGCAATGCGATTTTAACTGTGACAAACTATAAACCGGCAATACTACTGAGAACAAACGTCATACAGATTCATTTCATAATCATTTGAAATGCCGACGCAACGTGTTTTTTTATTCATGTACCATCAAAACATACACACAGAGAGTGAAAGAGAGTTAGTTTAGAGCTAAGACACAAACACGAACTACATTCATAAGAAGTTTGACAATCGTTCTGTGAATAAAATTGATACTCAGCACTTTTTTTACTCCAGCTACATTTGCTATATTCACACTGAAATGTGTATCACAAGCACGCCGATTAATATTGAATAAATAAACAAATGAACCTTTGAATTTCTGCTATAGATTCCACATGTAAACTCAAAATTAAAATGTTGATACACCAACAACAGGCATTCCGTTAATTTGAATAAAACACAACCGTAATGCGAACGATACATTTATTGACTTTTGATAAACTAAATTTGTTCAACCATTATATATTTATTAGAAAGTATATGCTTTGATTTCTGATTTATTTTTATAGCGATAGAGTACCGTTCAATAAAAAAATGATGTCATTTTTTCTATGTTTTTTTATTTATTTTTTCAAAATCAACCAAAGAGACATTCAAATTTAATCTTTTTCCATTTTTTTGTTTAAATATTATAGTCAAATGCAAATTGTAATAAAATGAATAAGTAAGTTGTTGTGGTTCCAAGTACCTGCAATATTAAAGACAATTAGAATTCTAGCAATTTTAGATCAACCGGAATCTTTACCGAAAATAGAAAATTGTAATCAATATTGAAAAATCCAAATGCATGAAACTGAATTTTCTCATGACATATTTGCAGAGTAAAGTCTTGAACCTAAATATATGTTTATTTAAAGTATATTCATGTACGATTGGCATTCATTTAAATACAATATCCAAATGAAATAAAAAAATAAATAATAATTACCAAATCACTTAAATTTCGATGCGAAAGTTTGAATGCCAAATTATTTAAAAGATTTGGAACTTTTCGTGCTTCACTAGTGCATTTATGGCAAATAGTTGACAGTTTGATGAAGTAGAATGTATGTAGAAGACAAAATAAAAAAAATGTAATGAATGTGTTAATTTCTATTAGATACGGATTTAAAAAAATGTATAAGGTACGATAATAATTAACGACAATGATGAAAAAACTTGAACCAATCATTGAAACTAATGACCATTGGAACATCTTATTGAACAGCCTGGTTATTTCCCACAATAGATGATATATTCGTCGCAGTGAAACGATACAATCAAAAATTCTATCTTCAATACTATTGTACTTTTCTTCATTTAATCTCCGTTTGGTAAAACGAAATCGATTCGTTTTGGAATAAATGTTTTCTATTTGTCCATTCATCGTCTCAAACCAAAATCCAATCACTTGAATGTAATGAATAATTTGAAAGTATTTAAATGAAGTCACCGCTATCGGTATTAAGCACAATAACCAAACTGTTTTTATCCATATACCAGCGTCGTCCAAAATAATTCCCACAGCAGCTATAATAATTATTATAGAAATTTGAAGCATCCAAATTGCCATCCAAATAAATGTATTTTTACGCACTTTTTTGCTGTCAATTTTTATACCAAACTCACGAATGAAAAATGTATTGAGATCATCAATTTTTATGAGAAAGTTGGCTTGTTGATTTCGATTTATTAGGGATTCAATTGTTATTACTATTGACACCGTTCGTACTAATTCGACAGTTGTGAAGCTTAAATAATTTAACATTTTGGATTTTTCCAAACCCAGAAACTCTTCATAAGACACAAAAGTATAAAAAACCATCGTGCTAAAGGAAATGATCAAGAATCCACCATAAATGAACCACTTCAATTGGCCGAACTTTGAATTTCCTTTTATTGCATCGAAAGGAATCGAAAATTGTGAAAATCCAAAAAATTGATACACTCGAAAAATTGGTAACAATATTTGCAGTAGCTTCATTTTTAACCATAAAATTTTAATTTCAATTCTATTAAACAATGCGTCTAGTTGTGAATACTATTTTTCAGTGACTACAACATGCGATTATCACATGCAACACATGGGCTGGCGACAAGAATACGGAAATTGTGTGCCTCATAACATTGATAATCACGTAAATGATTATCTTTTTTATGTCAAAATAATTGAAAATTCACGTTCAAGCTATTATCTATTGTTATTACATAACAACTTCCGTGAAAAATTATTTCAAATCAAATAAAACGCTCGTTTTTATTTTTTTAGATTTCGTGATGGCAATGTTCTGTATGAAAAACATACTTATTGCTCTCGTTGTTGCTGATGATTTATTTTTTTCATGTTCTCCGTAATTCAAAAAAAAAACAATAATAATAATAACTGCACCGAACAGCGTTCCTTCGTCTTGGTGGTTTATTCAAAATAATTTAAATGAATACAATATAATTAAATTCTTGCATCAAGCGGTTTTGAAAGAGATAAATAATAATTATTATAAAAAGATTTCATTTATGTTTACAATTTATCTATTTAAACAATTGATGAAAACTTGATACAAACGCCTAAAAATAATTTTCAAATTATTTTTCATTCCACATGCACAGGTGCGTCTTTTAATATAAATTTGATAACATTCGTAAATACTTACTCTTGGATCTTGGATAAATAAACGATGCCCAGCAATGAAAGTACAGACCTCGGGTAACTGTTGAGCATCGTATGAAATTACACCGAGAAACTTTCTATCTTTCGTAATAACAGGTCCTAAAATACAGTTTATTTTGATAGAGAGTTTTTTAATTTTGGTTTGAGGTCAGATTTGAAGGATCTAATAATCAGTTACCACCCGAGTCTCCCGAGTTAGTTAAATTGTGGGTTCCATTTCGTAGGCTTACACTAAAACAAAACAACAAAAAATCCAAATAACAATTTTTGAATGAATAAATTTGAAGATTATAATGGATGGAAAAAAGAAATACAAACCAAAATTGTCGTTGATTTTCCAATACACGGTCCTTGCATTTATTCCAATAAGAACTTTTACATGTTTCAAAGTCGGCAATAGTTGAATTAACGGATCTCAAATTAGATCTTTTCGGTGTCCGATCTGGATGTATGGATTCTGTGAATCTGAATTAAGATCATTTAACCGGATTTTACAAATTTTTAATATTATATCATTATTACCCAAACATAGAGATTTGGTCGTCTGTTTTTGCCACGTAGCCTTCATCAACCATATCTATTTTATCGATCATTGGACTGAACTTCAACTTTTTTTTCAATTCAATCACAGCTAAAATAAGAAATTATTGAAATATTTGTAATAATTGTGTTAAAAACTAATAGACCTATGTCATTAAACCACGGTGATTTTTTGCTGTATATGGGATGTACTATGATATCATTTTCAGTTATATTAACTGTGTGGATAGGCTTATGCAGATCGATCGTGCCAAAAATCAAAGTAAATGAACTTCTTCCAAACACGCAGTGTGCGGCAGTTACAATCTTGCAGTTCGACACGATTGTTCCAGCTAAAATTAATCATTTGAAATACAAATAAAGCGATATTTCCAAGCCTTGGTTGAAATAGTATTTGATTTACCGCAATTAAATGGATGATGGGTAAAACTTTTATGGTACTGAATTCCAACAACAAAATTACTATCTTCAATTTTGTCGACCAATTCGCCATCAATAATTTGTGAATCAGCTGCATATTATAGATAAAATGATTGCATGTTTAACAAAATTGAGTTTATCTTAAACACGTAAATTCGCTCGTAAATAGAAAATTACCCTATCAGAAAAGAAAATTAGTGAATATTTGGTAGATTTAAACGATGCAATTTCATTACTTACGATATATTCAGCCAAGGAAAATATACTAAACAATGCATAAAATAAATTCATTTTTTCTCAAAAAAAAAAAACTAATTCAGAACATCTGTGTTATAAGCTCAAATAAATTGGATGAAAAACACGTAGTTTCT